ATGACGCGCCTTATCAACACATTGTGTTGGAGTTCACTGCTTGTTTTTTTTTTACTTTCTTAGTGCAAAGTCCTTATCATAAAGGCTTATTTTTTGGGGTCCCGTGTAAAGCAAGAACGACAAATTATGTACGTGAATACAATTTTCGTATAGGATGTTAAAAAATTGAAATTAAGTTTGTATATTTCAAGTCACAATCGCATAAGGAAAGTGGTGAGATCTCACGAAAGGGTCAGAAAGTAAGGGAATAAAAGCTGCTGAATTAAGACTCTTACTTGAAATCCCGTTTTTTATGGATAATGGGGAGTCCATCTTTGTACCATTCAATTTTTGGCTCCGGATAACCAATCACACTGCATGTCAACTTCACCCTGGATCCTACGGTGGTCGATCGATTGGACAATCGACCACAGAAATGAGGTCTTGAGTCTGTTGTTTTCTGCAACACGCATCACCGAAATTAAAATGTGTGTAATTGTCGTACGTATTAGTTTCATATTCAGTCAAAAACTTTATGAGAGGACTTATTTTACTGCTGAATTGCATGATTCATACCATAGCGTCTAGATGGTGAAATGAAAAGGAATACAAATAGATATTTCTACAGTTTTGCAGGCGAATCTCGTGCTTCGCGCAAAGCTCAAAGTTTCAGATATTGTCTTCGGGTGATGAGGTCCCTTCCACAGATCCGGTCACAATTAAGAGGCAAAAAAACTTTCTCGTACATCTACAATAACGAAAAATAGCTTGGTCTGTTCTCCGCTGGTTCAGAGATTTTATAGCAGAGTAGAATACTGCCGTGCTGAGGATGAGTGCCGTATGAACATTCGAGAGTTGCCAAATTTTCTCTGATAAAACATTTATTTTCTAGAAAAACTATGCAGAATTTCCATAAAAATTTTAAGATATTTTAGAATAAATCGCGTACAAAATTGGCTAAAAAATTTGAAGAAAAATATTCACAATTTTCCGATAATTTAACACAAATCACAGATAATTTTTGTATTATTGAAGGAAATATCGCAACGTCTGAATGCTCATACGGCGTTCTTCCTTAGCACGGGAGAGTACTTAGTTGGGGCAAAACAAGAGTTACAACAATTTCGACTTCGAAGAGGAGAAAATTGTATTTGCACGAAATGAAGGAAAATGTGAACTCTTTTCGACTGACTCAGCGACTTTACCGCTGATGCAGAAAAGTTGGATAAGGCCAAACACACGTTACGACTATTTTGGGTTCCAAGAGGATTAAATTGCATATCCAAAAATTGAAGGAACTCTTGATGTTCTATATCATCTCAACTATTTTGTCGACTATAGTTTGTCGAACTCAATTCGTAGTTCTCGTGACCAAACTTATTAGGTTAAACGAACTGATGAAATAAGAAATTCGGTTGCATGAATCGAACGCTCAGTCACACAAAAAAAAAAATCAGTTTTATTCTAAAGAGTTAACACTCAACACACTGATTTTGACGACATTTCAGGACAATGATACTGAGATTTTGTAAAACTTATTGCATCGAACGCACTGATTTTTACAAAATTAGTGCAAAAACGTAGAATTACTGAGAAAATTACTGAGTAATTGAAAGTGTTATTGAGTGTTGAATTCTTTACCGCGAAAGCGTTGAATTTATAGAAAATGAATGCAGCTGCGCTTAATTTTTTCAAAGTTACTACAAGCGCACTCATTTTTGGTAAAGAGTACTGCGAGCGCACAGTTTCTTAATGCATAGGCTGAATCCCTGGTAGCTAAAAACTGTGTAGGCCGAACTTTGTACACCTTTGGGGTGTCACTCAGAAATTAATAAAAAAATGTTAAAAATTAAAGATTAGTAATGTGCAATATTTATTTATAAAATCTTACCACTTTAGGATGCTGATCATGAACAATACAGCGAGAATGGACCTTGGAGTAATGATACATCTCATCATCAGAAACGACACTTTCGGACCATTTTGTCCTCAGAGGTGATGCATATCTGCCCGAATTGGACAAATAATCGGAATGCCGGTCAGCCTTAGAGCTTATGTAATTATAAGCCATTCGGTCAAAACTACGAGATCTTGATAATGTGTTCTCTCTGAGCGTGTAATCGTCCTCAGATTCCGAAACACCAAGTCTGGAGTCACTCCTGCCTTTGTATGAGTCTACAGGTGATCCTACCCGCTGACTAGTCAGTCGATCCGTAAGGTCAGGTGTATATTCTCTCTTGTAATAGTTCGAGCTCAGATGCATCTTTCTGTTCAACTGATGAATCAAATCTGGGCTTCTAGCTACCCCAACAGGTGATCTACTGACGTATGGTGATCGAGCTCTTTCTAGGGGTGATTTAGTCCTTGAATAAGTGGAACTGTGGATATCAACATTATCCAAGTTAACTCGTTTATATTGATAATCCCTTACGCTGTGCGTATTCATAAAGCTCGGAGACTCTGAGGTAGCCCTTATTTCAGATCGTGAGACGCTCCTCCTGCTGTGCTTAAGTTCTTCGGAGCACTGATCTCTCAACTTTTCTGCAGTGACTCTTAGATCATCTGTGATTTCGTATTTCTTAGTAACGTAACTACCGTGAGTGGATCCGCGTAGAGACGTTCCAGAATAATGGTCTTTGGCAGTTTGACCAGTAATCGTGAGTTCTGCATCTGGTTTTTTGATTGCTGCTCTTGCCCCTCGATTCAATGTGTCATCATTTTCTGTTACATAAACTTGTTTCGTATGTGTTTCGATGTCCTTATTAGTTTTACCTATTATCTTTTCATCTGCCACTCGGGATAGTTCCTCCTTTGCTTTGCGACTGGACAATTCAACAGTGCGACCAGATTCCTTTTCATCAAGCTTTGCTTTGACGTCTTGATGAGTTAGTCCCTTTGCTCCCACTATTGTTTCCTCTCTAACCTCGAAATCAGCCCTCTCTTTGGCATTACGCTGAACATTCTCTTCGGTTTCTTTTTTGACCTTCTCCTCAGACATCTGCTGTGCATTTCCTTCTTTTTCAAGTTTAACCTTCTCCGCAGCTTCCTTTCTGGCTTGTTCCTCCGTCCTCTTTTTCACTTCAGTCTCTGCATCGCGCTTAGCTTTTCCTTCTGCCTCACGCTTAGCCTTTTCATCTGCATCACGTCTAGTCTTATCTGCAGCATCTTTTTGTGCTTTATACTCAGCATCCTTCTTTGCTTTTTCTTCTGCTGCAAGTTTCGTCTTCTCTGCGGCTTCCTTTTTGGCTACTTCCTCAGCCTCAAGTTTTTTCTTTTCCTCTGCCTCACGTTTAACCTTTTCTGCGACTTCTTTCTTGGTCTTCTCCGTTGCTTCTTCCTTCGCTTTTTCTTCTGCGTCACGTCTCGCTTTTTCTTCTGCTTCCTTCTCTGCTTTTTCCTGTGTTTCCTTCTTTGCTTTTTCTTCTGCTTCAAGTTTCGTTTTCTTCACTGCCTCCATTTTGGCCTGTTCCTCTGCATCCTTCTTTGTTTTCTCTTCTGCTTCTTTCTTTGCTTTTTCTTCTGCTTCCTTCTTTGCTTTTTCTTCTGCTTCCTTCTTTGCCTTTTCTACTGCTTCCATTTTGGCCTTTTCCTCTGCTTCCTTTTTAGCTTTCTCTTCTGCTTCCTTCTTTGCTTTTTCTTCTGTTTCTTTCTTTACTTTTTCCTCTGCTTCAAGCTTCGCCTTCTCTGCTGCTTCCTTTTTGGCTTTTTCCTCTGCTTCCTTCTTTGCTTTTTCTTCTGCTTCCTTCTTAGCTTTTTCTACTGCCTCCTTCTTTGCTTTTTCTTCTGCTTCTTTCTTTGCTTTTTCCTCTGCTTGAAGTTTCGCCTTCTCTGCTGCTTCCTTTTTGGCTTTTTCCTCTGCTTCCTTCTTCGCTTTTTCTACTGCTTCCATTTTGGCCTTTTCCTCTGCTTCCTTCTTAGCTTTCTCTTCTGCATCCTTCTTTGCTTTTTCCTCTGCTTCCTTCTTTGCTTTTTCTTCTGCTTCCTTCTTAGCTTTTTCTTCTGCTTCAAGTTTCACCTTCTCTAATGCTTCCTTTTTGGCTTTTTCCTCTGCTTCCTTCTTTGCTTTTTCTTCTGCCTCCTGCTTTGCTTTTTCTTCTGCTTCCTTCTTTGCTTTTTCTACTGCTTCCATTTTGGCCTTTTCCTCTGCTTCCTTCTTAGCTTTCTCTGCTGCATCCTTCTTTGCTTTTTCCTCTGCTTCCTTCTTCGCTTTTTCTTCTGCTTCCTTCTTCGCTTTTTCTTCTGCTTCTTTCTTTGCTTTTTCCTCTGCTTCAAGTTTCGCCTTCTCTGCTGCTTCCTTTTTGGCTTTTTCCTCTGCTTCCTTCTTTGCTTTTTCTTCTGCCTCCTGCTTTGCTTTTTCTTCTGCTTCCTTCTTTGCTTTTTCTACTGNCTTCCTTCTTAGCTTTCTCTTCTGCATCCTTCTTTGCTTTTTCCTCTGCTTCCTTCTTTGCTTTTTCTTCTGCTTCCTTCTTAGCTTTTTCTTCTGCTTCAAGTTTCGCCTTCTCTAATGCTTCCTTTTTGGCTTTTTCCTCTGCTTCCTTCTTTGCTTTTTCTTCTGCTTCCTTCTTAGCTTTTTCTTCTGCTTCAAGTTTCGCCTTCTCTAATGCTTCCTTTTTGGCTTTTTCTTCTGCTTCCTTCTTTGCTTTTTCTTCTGCCTCTTGCTTTGCTTTTTCTTCTGCTTCCTTCTTTGCTTTTTCTTCTGCTTCCTTCTTTGCTTTTTCTACTGCTTCCATTTTGGCCTTTTCCTCTGCTTCCTTCTTAGCTTTCTCTTCTGCATCCTTCTTTGCTTTTACCTCTGCTTCCTTCTTCGCTTTTTCTTCTGCTTCATGCTTTGCTTTTTCTTCTGCTTCCTTCTTTGCTTTTTCTACTGCTTCCATTTTGGCCTTTTCCTCTGCTTCCTTCTTAGCTTTTTCTTCTGTATCCTTCTTTGCTTTTTCTTCTGCCTCACGTTTAGCTTTTTCTTCTGCTTCTCGTTTCGCTTTTTCTTCAGCTTCCTTCTTTGCTTTTTCTTCCGCGTCACGTTTAGCCTTTTCTTCGGCTTCTTTCTTGGCCTTTTCTGCAGCTTCTTGCTTCGCTTTTTCTTCTGCCTCTCGTTTTGCTTTTTCTTCTGCTTCACGGTTTACTTTTTCTTCTGCTTCACGTTTAGCTTTTTCTTCTGCTTCAAGTCTAGCTATTTGTTCTGCTTCAAGTTCAGCTTTTTCTTCCGCCTCCCGTTTGGCTTTTTCCTCTGCTTCACGTTTAGCTTTTTGTTCCGCTTCAAGTTTAGCTTTTTCTTCCGCCTCCCGTTTTGCTTTTTCCTCTGCTTCACGTTTCGCTTTTTCCTCTGCTTCACGTTTAGCTTTTTGTTCCGCTTCAATTTTAGCTTTTTCTTCCGCCTCCCGTTTTGCTTTTTCCTCTGCTTCACGTTTCGCCTTTTCTGTGGCTTCTTGCTTTGCTTTTTCTTCTGCATCACGTTTAGCATTTTCTTCTGCCTCACGTTTAGCTTTTTCTTCTGCTTCACGTTTCGCCTTTTCTGCAGCTTCACGTTTAGCTTTTTCTTCTGCCTCCCGTTTTGCTTTTTCTTCTGCTTCAAGTTTTGCTTTTTCTTCTGCCTCCTGTTTTGCTTTTTCTTCTGCTTCACGTTTAGCTTTTTCTTGTGCTTCTTTCTTTGCTTTTTCTTCTGTTTCACGTT